GCCACTCAGCCGGCCCCCAAATCATTCATTTTCAACCACAAGCATCACAATTTCTTTGGTGGTTCCTTATGTGTCATGGTTTGGGATTTTCTAATTGTTTGATTAACTGTCTTTTGGAAGTGCTCTAATGAATGTTGCAAACCCTCTGTGTGGCAGCAAGCCTGCAACACTCCAACCTTGACTGCACAACCTCAGAGCAGAGCAGGGTATGGTTCAAATGAGCTCAAGATTGTGTTGGGTTGTCAGAAAAGTCATGACGTATTTTTTTCTATGTTTTTCATTGCAAAAATGCATCATGACTTTTGCTACAACCCAATACAATCTTGTTTGGAATGACGTGGTCCTATGGATGGATATGGAGACTAAAATCAACAAAGACCTCCATTCCTTTCCCCCTTATAAATACCCATGCCTTTCTTGTCACAATGGTGGGAAAACAGGTGATAAATACATTCCTCATCTAAAGTAATAATAATGTGTTGTGTCACTCTTTACAGGAGTTTTGACAAGGCAATGGCTTACTCTAAAGGTGAACTCCATAACAGTGTCATTTCAGGCCCCAGGCAGATATGTGGGGAAGATGTGTGGCGAGAGGGCTGCTCAGAGCACACCATGCCATAGCTCCTTCCTCCACCTTCCCTGGGGCTCCCCGACATATGAAACACACAGCACTCTGTTCTGCAACATCCAGGGCATGAGGAACAATGTTCATGAGGTTGGTTGATTTGGAGCAATTCAGTTTTTCAAAGCAGCCATGGCCGAGGGAAGGGCTCATGAAGACAGGTGGGCTCATTACTTAAAGCCAAGCCAACTAAGAATGAAACCAGCTTTCAAGTAGAAATGCCTGCCTCGGGCAAAGGAAGGAGCGAGGCAGCTACAGTATTTCAGGGGGAAAAACTATGACTTCATTCAGCATAGTGAACTTGGGAGGGGAGAGAATAAGGTGGAAACCCAGGCAAGAGTTTCCTCAATGATCACTTAAGGACAGCTGAAGTGGGGCTCCTGGGACAGGATGTTAAAATGAAACTATTTTAGTTTCCATTTGGGCTGAGGCTGCAAGACAGTAAACACCCCACACCAGAGTGAAGTGTGCAGATCTTGCAAAAAAGAGATGGTAGAAAGCCAGTTATATATCTGGGATGACCACCCACATCTAGCCTTCAAAAGAAAAAAAAAATTGTAGAGGTTGAAAAACAGGTTGACTAGAAGATGAATTATGGAAAGAACTATCCAGTATGTTCCCAACGGCTTCAACATGGCTATGTGAATAGCTATCTGTCTCGGGCACTTTCAAGACACAGTGGATTATTGTTTGATTCCCATGAGAAATGTACAAGTCTGGCTGCTCTGATGGCAGAGCAGAGGGGAGGTGCCTCCAGGGATCAGCCCGCACGCCCACATTATGTTTGGGTAAAGAATGTGTGAGTGTTTCTCAGGGACCAGATGGAGGCCATCAAAAGAGAGATCTGAAGTGAGGTCATCCTAAATCCTTTCCACAGGACTGTCTGGAGGCACAAGGGGGCCTCAACAGTAAGTAGTTAGTTATGTACCTGCAGATGCCTTGAGGCTGTGGAAGGAACTGTAAGTGACCCACTGGAGAAGAGTTACATTTGTCCATGTCAAGGAAAAGTACAGGTGAGAGATGACAGATTCATCAAATGACCCATGTAGGAGCTCACAGAACAAAGAAACAGCTTTGAACATCTGCCAGAACCAGGGAGCATGATGACAACTCACAGCAGGATTAGTTAAGTAAAAACCCTCCTGCCTCTTGCCCCTCCTCCTTCCCCCACTCTGATCACGAAGGATTCAAAATCATTATTAGCTAGATATGGGAGGAAGCAAAACCACAAAGCTGGGTGGGGAGAGGAGAGAAGCCAACCATACTCTCCTTTACTGCAGCAGGCAACTGGCCATGCAGGCCTGAGCTGGGATGGGGAGTAATTATATCTTTGAGTGAAATTTAAAGTTTGATTATCACTCTGACCTGGACATATTAATTATTGACTAAAGAATGTTTTGTTACCTGAAAGGAGCCAGGGAAGTCACAATATTTGTCCTAACTTTCATCCATGGACAGGGAAGAAGTGGATACTACAGGATACATTTGAAGAAGAATGGAAGAGACATATTTTGTGGCTTTATGATTATACCAATGGTCATTGCTTGTTCAGTGTAACAATGATTCAAGAGTTTGAAAAGTGAAATCAGGCAATTCTGCTAGTCTCATAGCGAGATTCACTAGAAGATACATTAGCTTTAGAATAGGTTTCTGAGTCAACTATGTTTTACAGGCGAAGTCAGATTCATACTGTCAGAACCACAAGGAACATTATATATGAGCAACTCCAACCCCTCATTTAGAAAACTGAGGCCCAGAGAGATGAGACTTCTCCCAGCTCATACATATAGAGATATCAAGGAAAAACATAGACGTGTACAGCGTCTGCTCATATAGGCCGTATTTTACTAGGCACCCTTCTTTGTAAAGGCCAAATTTCTTTCTGTTTCCCAGGTTTCAGGGAGATTAAAGTAAAATTGTACACAATGTTCTTGAGAGTATCTGAGAAAATCTATGATAAGAATCTAAGTTGATCCTGAACAGCCAAAGCAATAATGAGAAAGAAGAACAAAGTTGGAGATATCATACCACCTGATATCTAAATATACTACTACAAGGCTATAAAAATCAGAACAGTATGATACTGGCATTAAAACAGACACACAGATCAATAAAACAGAAAAGACAGTCCAGAAATAAACCCATGCCTATATGGTCAATTAACCTATGACAAAAGAGACAAGAATATACCATGGGGTAAAGACAGTCTATTCAATAAATGGTGTAGGGAAAACTGAACAGATACATAAAAAAAAAAAAAGAAAGAAAGAAACTAGACCACTTTCTTACACCATATACAAGACTAAACTCAAAATGGATTAAAGATTGAAGTCTGACCTGAAACCATAAAACTCCTAAAAGAAAACAGTAAACTCTTTCACATTACTCTTAGCAAAGTTTTTTTGGATATGTCTTCTCAGGCAAGGGAAACAAAAGAAAAAAGAAACAAATGGGACTACATCAAACCAAAAAGTTTTTGCACAACAAAGGAAACCATCAACAAAATGAAAAAACATCCTACTGAATGGGAGAAAGTGTCTGCCAATGATACATCTGATAAACGGTTATTATCCAAAATATAGAAGGAACTCATACAACTTATCACCAAAAAACAAAACAAAATGAAAAAAACAAAAAAACAAAAAAATCTGTTTAAAAAATGGGCAGAGGACCTGAACACACATGTCTCCAAAGAGAACATACAGATGGCCAATAGACATATGAAAACTCAGCATCACTAAACATCCGGGAAATGAAAATTAAAACCATAAGATATCACCTCACACCTGCCAGAATGGCTATCATCAATAAAGCAACAAACAACAAGTGTTGGTGAGGATGTGGAGAGAAGGGAACCTTCATGCACTGTTGGTGGGGTTACAAAGTGGTACAGCAACTATGGAAAGCAGTATGGAGGTTCCTCAAAATATTAAAAATAGAACTACCGTATGACCCAGAAATTCCACTTCTGGGTATTTATCTGAAGAAATCCAAAACACTAATTCAAAAAGATATATGCACCCCTATGTTCATGGCAGCATTATTTACAATAGCCAAGATATGGAAGCATCCTATGTGTCCATCAATAGGCAAATGGAAGAGGAAGATGTGGAACATATATACAATGGAACATTAATCAGCCATAAAAAAAAAGAATGAAATTTTGCCATTTGTGACAACGTAGATGAACCTAGAGGGTATTATGCTAAGTGAAATAAATCAGACAGAGAAAGACAAATAGCATATGATTTCTCTTATATGTGGAATCTAAAAAACAAAATAAATGAATAAACAAAACAGAAACAAACTCACAGATACAGAGAATAAATTTATGGTTGCCAGGTGGGAGGGAGGTTGAGAATATGGGTGAAAACATGAAAGGGATTAAGAAGTACAAACTTCTATAAAAACAGTCACAGATATAAAGTACAGCATAGGGGAATACGGTCATAACATTGTAATAATTATATATGGTGTCAGATGGGTACTAGACTTATTGGGGTGATCACTTTATAAGTTATATAAGTGTCGAATCACTATGTTGTACACCTGAAACTAATAGAATATCGTGTGTTAACTGTAATTGAAAATTAAATTTTAAGAAAACAATGACAAAAGTGTGCAAAAAAAAAAAAAAAGAATCTAAGTTTATCCTTCCCTGATGTCCTCCTAGGCTTAAGATATAGCCACTCTTACTATACGTATCCTTTGTTGAACATTCTAAGGATGCCTGTGAGCACATACCTGCAGATGTATCAGTTTTTCATTATTTATAATGGTCACTCAATACCACAAAAACTTTCCTAAGCTTATGTATTAGTCTTATCCCAAGACAAGGTCTCACACAGTGCTTGGAACAGAATTGGGTTCAGCAAATGTTGGCAGAACGACATAATGACTAGATTCCAGTTTCGCTGTTTATGTATGTGTTCTTTATATATCAAAACTACTTGCAAAGAAAGAAAAAAGGCAACATTTCTGTTCAATTTTGGGAACCTGGAACCCACACCTGGAGTCATGTTTAACTCTTCAGAAGTCCGTGACTTAGGGGTGCTAAGTGGGAAAGGAACACCTCCCATCAATTTTTAAATTTTGTGAGGGACAGGATTGGCTCTTCTGTCTCAGAAGTTTGCTGGCCCCTGGCTAGATTCTAATAACACAAGGCCTAAAAGCCATAATGGAGTGATCTCTTCCCACTGCAGCCTGCGGGGGACTGTCTAGAGATCCTTGATCCCTGCCAGTCCCGACTGCTCCCAGGGCTCTCAGAGAGCTCTGAAGACCTGCAGCAGCTTCCTCAGCGCACCTTCACCTACCCCAGGAGGGCAGGGACACCTGGGACCACCTGCAGGCGCCAGGAAGACTAACGAACAAAGCCTACCTGACTCCATCCTGCCTTCCTGGTTCTTCTGGGCTTCCTCGGAGGCACAGGAGCCCCTGGGGAAGGGCTGGTGGCTGAAGAGGTCATCACACAGGAGGCTTCGGCACAGCTTGGCGAGGAAGCGGAGGACATAGCCAATGCTGTTCACCACAGGCAGACTCCGCAGGTGCTGTTTCCCATCGAAGGACGCTGAAACTGGAAAACCACAGAGACAGCAGCTCAGAGTGGGGCGCTGGAGAAAGCCACAAGTCCATCAGCCCTGGGAAGAGGCTTTATTTGGATTTCACCTGTTTTTCCACGATTGTCCTGTTTCTGTTCCAGGATCTCAACTAGGAAACCACATTGGGTGTAGTTGCCATCTTCTTAGTGTCCTCTAGTTTGTGACTGTGTCTCAGTCTTTCCTTGTTTTTCACGACCTTCAGAGTTTTGAAGAGTAGTGGTCAGGTATTTTGTAAAATGTCTCTCAATTTGGGTTTGTCTGATGTTTTTCTTATTAATTGACTGAGGTGATGGGCTTTGGGGGAGAGGAAGACCACAGAGGTGAAGTGCCCTTCTCATTGTATCAGGTCAGGGACACATGATATCCACATGACATCACTGGGGTGTTAACCTTCATCCCTTGGCCAACATGGTGTTTGACACACTTCTCCACTGTTCCCTCCATTTTCTTATTTCCTTGGAAATAAGTCACAAGGTCTTGTCCACACTCAAGGGTAGTGGAGGGATTTAGCTCTACCTCCAGGAGAGCAGAGAGCTTCTATAGCATTTGGAATTCCTCTGTAAGGAAGAATTGTTCCTTCTCCTCTATTTATTTATTTGTTTATTCAATCACTTCTTAATATCAGTACAGACTCAGTATATTTATTGTGTACTGTGGGTTATCCAATAGTATATTATTTATTTTGTTGCTCAAATTGTGCCAGCTTTTCTCTTTGGGAGATTTCAGGTTGACACCTATGTTTCTATGACATGCCCCATTTTATTTATTTTATTTATTTTTTTTAGTAACTCTTTGGTTACTTACACTTCAATATGCTCCAGATTCACCTTGTATTTTTCCTGCCCCAGCCCTAATGTCAGCCATTTCCCCAGCAGCCCTGGTTCCTTTTATTGAAGAGTGATATTTAGAAACCAAGATTTGAGCACTGGATGTGCTCATTGCTACTGGGGTGTCAACAGTTCTGGGGCTTCTCAGGGGGAGAGAGCTAAGAAGTATATGTATATATAGACTATCCCATTATAATTATTTCTCTATCTAAGTATGTCTAAGACAGATGATAGATGATAGATAGGTGATAGATCGATGATAGATAGATAATAGATAGATAGATAGATAGATGATAATAGATCGATGATAGATAGATAGATAGATAGATAGATGATAGATGATAGATCGATGATTAGATAGATAGATAGATAGATATAGATTTTTAAAACCTGATTTTGTACTAAGGTCTCCAACTCTTACCTATCATCACAGAATTCAGGATTCATTCTAGCTTTCTGGGGATAGAGTCTTTATAAAAAAAGAACAGGGCCGGCCGGGTGGTGCGACGGTTGGGAGCTGGCTTGGGACGCCAGAGGGCCCCGGTTCGGATCCCACATATGCGGGCCAGTGACACTGCCCTCTACAGCTCAGATGCTGAACAACAGCTCAACCTGGAGTTGGGCTGCCGTGAGTCACCTGCGATGGTGTGGGCTGCAGCCCCTGCTGCAGTGGGTTGCCATGGGCTACCATGTGTAGGCAGCAGCCAGCGTGAGTGGCCAGCAGCCGCAGTGAGCAGCCGTCCAGAAGCTGGTGACTGATCGGCCTCTCCTGGGAAGAGCACAATGATGGTGCCAACTTGGGCCAGTGAAGCGCCGTCCTCCACAACTAGACTGAAGAACAAAACAACAGCAACTTGTCTATTCCCCTTCCCCCAATTCCCCAGCGCTGTTCCCTTCCCCCCAATACCCCAATAAAAATCTTAAAAAAAAAAAAGAACAATAATCTCTCCACAGCGAGGCTAGCTCAAACTTGATTTCTATAGGGTTACCAGAATTGGGAAGAAACACGTTTCTTCCAGCCCAGACCATATTCCTTTCTGTAATTATCCTCATAGCCCTCTGTCACCCCAAGAAGTTTGCACACCAACTCCAGTGTAAAGAACACACAAGGATATCCTGATCAGGAAGGACATTCTGTTCCCACTTAGGCCTCTGACACTCGGCATCAATACCTAGAGGGCAGCCTGGTTTTCACATTATATCTCCCAAAGGCAGGCAGACAGCAAGGGCTGGGACAGAGACAAGGAGAGCTATGTTTGATTTCAGAACTACAAACAAACAAACAAAAAACCCAGATAAACAAAAAAAAAAAACACCCATTTTAATGATCCATCAAAAAAATCCGTTTCTTTTGTGTAGCTCTTTATAGTTTGATAAGTGCTTTCATATGTATTGCCTCATTTAGGCTTCCTGACTGTCCTATGAGGACAGTGGAAAAAAGGTTTTTACTACATGTGACAGATGAGGAAACTGCGGAGAGGGCCTGGAGTGGTTTTTCCAGGTCATGTGGCCTCTAAGTGGACTTGCGTGTCATTTGAATACTCCCGGTGACCCTGATTGAAAAACACCAACAAAGAACTCCCAAGATGCTCTCACCAAGGGTGTCATCTTGGCCATTCAAATGCTCTAGAAATCCCCTCTTAGTGTTAGTACTGCTGCTCGCCTCCAGTACTTTAAAATACTGGTGTGCTGGAAACTGAACCCATAGCAGGAGGGTCTGGGGCATCAGGCCTGCCCCATAAGTCAGTGTGTATACATTCCTGGAGGTGCCTGGGAGATTACAGAAGTGGGAAAATTCCATCTGCTGAAGGAGGACATGGAATTTGTGAGATCATAAAGTCTCTCCTTGTGGGAGAGCATCCCAGCAAGTGTGCTGGGAATCGGTTGTGGGGGTACCGTGATACACTCTTCTCAGCTCTTGGGGTGGCCCAAGGCCCAGCCATGGCAATTGGTTCCTTTAGCCCATTGTTCCAGCACCAATGTTCCCATTCTCTCTTTATTCTGCCGTGGGAATATTTGGAAAGCAGGGCCCCAAGAATCAAGTTCTAGATGGAGGGTGGGAGAGTCTAGCTGTTTCTCCTGAGCCCTTCCCTAAACCACCTTGGTACTGTCACTTATCCTTGCTGAGCTTCCAATCACTATCAGTAACATGAAAGACCACCTTGCCACTTTGTGACCTCAAGGTGGTGGTGCGAGGAGTCTACTCAGTGATACTGCCTTCTCAAGGACATAAGACCAAGTGCTCAGCTCTGGCCTTCCTGGGAATCCTTCAGCCAAGGGAAAGTTGGCAAGGCTCTGCCCACACACACGTTGGTGCCAGGCACTGCAGAAGATCCTCCCTAGTGCCAAGGCCCCTGAGGCCACAAAAAGGCTGAGCAGGAAAGTAGAGAAAATGGGGTCATCTCTCCCAGGGGTGGGGACCATAAAGAATCAGTCACATGGGATTTGCTCAAGAGGGTGTAGCTTTCTTTTAGCACCAGGTCTGTCTTGAGCCCTGCTGTTTAGCAAAGAAAAGGACAAGGTCTTTGATCTTAGACTGTAGCCGAGGCTCGAGAACCTGGCTCTCAGACAGAAACCAGGAGAAGAACAGTCCAGGTGCTCTTAAAAGGCCTGACAGCAGGACTCTCCTCTTGGCTCTCTTGGTGCAGTTCTTCCTTCTGTCTCTGCTTGCGTCTGCTAAAGTCTCTTAAAAGTCATCCTGGGTCACACACATGCACCAGACCTTGCCAAGTGCTATTTTAATCAATCACCAGCAAGTCAGACCCAGCTTCCTGTTCAGAGGGAACTCCAGATGGGCACTGAATCAAGCGGACCTGGGGAAGCTCTGTTGGACAACCTTCCCAGTCCCAAGCCCTGGGGATATGGAGTTAAATAAAATACCCCTACTTGGGCTCTTCAGGAAGCAGCCACGTTAGAGGCCTCTCTCCCCTGATCCTTTCTTAACCAGCCAGCAGCGTCACCTGCATGTCCCCATTGCTGGGGAATTTTTGCCCTTTTCCTTGGTGAAATGGAGGCCTTATCCACTATGCTGGGCCAGAGAAGACGCCAGGCTGTCCCCTTGGAGTCAAGACATCTTACAAAGGCCTGATGCTCCAGGGCTTAAGGGCAGGTATTTTAGACAAGGTGGTCAGGAAAGGGCTCCTTGATAAAGAGGCATTTGAGTAGAAACCTGAAGGAAGCCCAGGAGCCGTCACATGGACAGCTGCAGAAGAACATTCCAGAAAGAGAGAATAGCAGGTGCACAGGTCCTGGGGCAGGTGCATGGTTGGAGGACACGGGAAGAACAGGACATTAGCTACCATGACCACAGCAGAGTAGGGGACTCTAGAGAAGCGACCAAGAGATCAAAGAGGTAGCCAGGGTCAGGTCACACAAGGGACTCTAGGCCTTTATAAGGCTTTTTCTCAGGGTGACATGGGAACCATTGAGAGTTTAGGGCAGAAAGGGGGCATGATCTGACTTATATTTTTAAAGAACCAGAGTGGTCGCTATGGGTCGTGAAAGGTAGCTGGATCCTGGTTATATTTTGAAGTGAGAGCAACAGGATTTACTGGTGGGTTGGAAGTGGGGGGTGGTAGAAAGAGAAGAGTCAAAGGTGAAGTTTCAGATATCCAGTCTTCTTCTCCAGGCCTAGAAGCATCTTCTCCTTGAGCCCTGAGAGAGCCTTCAGCACACAGGCTCATGAACAGCTCTGTTGCCCCACAGATGGGAGGACAGGCCCTGGTCACAAGCCCTGTCCCCCAAGCCTGAGAATGGCTGCTTTCATCTTCAGAAACTCCACGGCCTCCCTCCTCCAACCTGCCTCAGGGCCTTACCTGACACCATCTCGCCACCATAGCCCTGCTTGACCAGAGAGAAGACCAGCTTCTGCTGGTAGGCGCAGTCAATGCACGCCTGCACGGCCTGCTGCAGGACCGCCGACGGCCTTTCAGGCCCGAAGTGCTCAGGGAGCTGCTGCACTTTCCTCCTCTCCAGGTAGGGCCCTGCGTCTGCTTGCTTGTTGATGTAGAGGCAGACTGTGGAAAGAGAGACCCGCAAAGCCCTTAGCATCGATGCACATCGGGCAAGGGGGCTGCTCCTGTGTGCTCAAGGATGCCTCAGCCATGCCCCCTGGCCCTGGCCTTGGGAAAGCTGAAAAAGGGCAAAAGTGGGACTGATTCTTCCCACTTCATAAGTGAAAGAGGCAAAGAAACCAATCACCCCAACTGCCGGCGCTTGCTGTCAAGAGGGCCTCCTGGTTGGTGCAGATGGGCAGGGGGGTGCCATATGATGTACTCCTAACTGAGTTGTAGACAGTTATGAGGCCCATGTGAACCACGTTTATAGACACATTTCCATGCTGGGCGTGTACCCATAGAAAACCTTCCCTCTTCCTCCAAGGATGCTATCAAGCTACACATAATGTTGGCCACATTTTTTGTTAACTTTTGATGAATTAAAAAAAAAATCAAGATGATGCTGATTGCTCTAAAAATTATGTATTCATCGTCTAAAGAGAGTGCTATTTTACAATTTCAGAGAAAATAAACACTCAGCCGCCCATTTTGATGAGTCCAATCAGTGATTTCCACACTTTTAAAGTAATACATCCCATCAGAAAAAAGCTTGAGCACATGCCCCAAAATGTGTTTATTTATGTATAGGTTATATACATTCTTTTCTATATTAATGTATTGTGTGCACTTAAAAACGTGACCAAGAAATCAAAATTTTAAAGGATAAGGTACAAATAAATGTTAATAGAAGGTGTCATGTTTTCTTCTATACATTAAAGGCTCTCCTCTTGTGTTTCCCGCCCCCCCCCTTCACCCCAGAGTGTGAGCATCTTGCCTTGGAGACCAGTAATGCAAAGGAGTGTTGAAGAGGGAGGGACTTTAAGAGGAGACTAGGAAGACTTTGGAAGTATTCAACAGAAATAACAAAGGTGAAGGATGTTAGTTTTTATTGACCACTTATTATGGTCCAGGTACTTTAGATACTTTATCTTATTTAATTCTTAAGACAAGCCTGGCAATAAGTTGTTATCACTTCTTCACTAATGAAGAAACTGAAGTTTCAAGTGGTTAGATGGATGCTCATAAAGTTTGCAGTTAGTGGTGCCACAGGGATTTGGACTCAAGTCTTTCTGATGTCCAGGCCAGTGCTCTTTTCACTCAGCCAGGCTGCCTTCTTCTCTATTCATCCCAGATGATTGAAGAAATATAATTAAAAAGAGCCCTTTATGCCAGACACTGTGTTAGGTTTTACAGAGAAAATGGTGAACTGGGGCCGGCCAAGAGGCGCAGTTGGTTAAGAGCTCGCTCAAGAGTGCAGAGCTATGAGCAACAGCGGCTGGAGTCCCGGCCCGAGCTGAGCTGCCACTGAGCTGCCGCTGAGCAGCCAATAGGTGGCAGGTTGGCTCAGCTACAAGAAAGAAAAAAAAGAAAATGGTGAACCAAACCAATGAGGTCCCTGGCTTCACAGAGCTTAGGGCCCAGTGGGGGAGGCAGACTTCCTCAGAGAGTCACAGGAACTGATGTGGGTCTGTGGCAGTGAGAAACTTGGGGAGACACTAGGAGAGCCCATCTGGGGACCCTGGCAGGAAGCCAGTGAAGGATTTCTGGAAGGAGGTACGCTTGAGCTGGGATACAAGGGAGGAATAGGGTGACCAGAGGGAAGGTCATTCTAGATGGAAGGAAAAGAATATGCTAAGATCTTATGGTGGGCACTAGAGACTGAAGAGAGCAGTGGGCTGAATCACAAGGGGACAAAGCCTGCGGGACCTTGTTGGCCATATTAACAAGTTTGGTCTTTACCCAAGAGCAATGGGAGGAGAATGAAGAGGAATTTAAGTGGAACCAGAGTGGGACTGGAGTTGTGGTGAGGGGGGAGTGTGTGTGTGTGTGTGTGTGTGTGTGTGTGTGTGTGTGTGTGTGTGTGTGTGAGAGAGAGAGAGAGAGAGAGAGAGAGAGAGAGAGAGAGAAATATCATCCGATTGCTGTTTCTCTTACAAAGCAACTGTTGGTTGGTGGGTACCCCATGGCACAGGCTGGCCTGTGCACTATCCTGACTGGATTGGAGGGTGCCAGGTGGGATTAAGGGAGATTAGGCTCCTTAGAAGATCTGGAAGTACAAATACAGGGATGGAAACTCTTCAAGGTGAGCAGGCTAACTATTGAGGCAATAAACCTGGCTCTGAAAAGAAAAACCTGGGCCACCAACCACTCTTTCTAACCCCACCCCAAGGCAACCAGCTGAACCCAAGATGCATCGAAAACCAAGTTTCAAATAATCCAAACTGTGAGACACTTAAACTCATGTTCTCAGAGAATCTGGTTGTCCTAGCTACTGTCTGGCTAACACACTAAATCCTTCTTTTGAGCTATCTTGGTGGCAGTTTTCTAGTTCACCAAGTGACTGTTAGATGATGGGCAGGCCATCACAGTCTTGGAGTTTATTTGCCTGACCTACCTGTGAGAGCCTGTGGGGCTGCCAAGCTGGGTATGGTGGCTGCATCCTGAGGGATGGAACTGAGGTCGGGCTCCGGTGTACTCCTCGGAGGTGAGAGGGCTAAAGGAGTCATGAGAACCCGAGACTTGAGCTGCAAGAGAGAGTCCATTTGGTCAGTGACAAATCTGGAAATGCTCTCTATACCTCCCAGAATCTTTCCCGGATGGTAGCTAACCATTGCAACTCTATCATACTTCCACACCTTTCTACTGTGCAGCTTTGGTGGCTGAACTTTTCAAGATTCATGTTTGGGGGTCACACACAGAGGTCAGCTCTGTGCCCCACCCTTACAGCAGAACCACCCAGAAAATGACTGTGTCAGCCAATGGGTGTAGGAGCACATAGAGGTCTGAATAGTTGCAGCCTGTAAGCACAGGATGCAGGATAGGGGACAATTCCCAGCCTGAGCCCCTGTTCCCCCTAGAATCCTATGGATAGGGCTTTCCCAACAGCCACCCAAAGACTGAACCTAAAGCTCTCATCACTCTCTGCTGAGATTTCTGCTCACATCTGCATCCGGCTGGAAAAGAGAGTAGGAGCTATTTCTCCAAGGGGTTGACATACTGCTCTGTGTTTATTTCCTGCAGTAGAGACTATCAAAGGTAACCTGAGTGTGGATGTGAGTGCATTCTCTGCTGGTAATAAAGAGCCACCTTGAAGGTCTCACATGAAACCACAAATGAGGAGCTGAAATATGCTGTTATGGATTAAGGAGGGGATGACTGGCTGATGAGGTCAATACCAACAAGTCATTCTCCAAAACCAAGGTTTGATAGACAAGTTTTTAATCTTAGCTCTCCACCCCAAAATAATGAGTCAGGCACTTCACCTCTTTACCACTGACCTATGCATAGACCCCACTCCAGACCAATTAAGTCAATTTCTGGGAGTGGGACCCAGGTATCAAGAGTTTTTAAAGATACTCAGATGATTCCAATACACAGTTAAGGTTGAGGAATACTGCACAACACCAGTACTTTTCAACTTTAAGGTGCAATTAATCACCTGGAGTCTCATTAAAATGCAGATTCTCATTCAGTAGGTCTGGGGCAGGGCCTTGAGATTTTGCATTTCCAGCAAGCTCCCAGGTAGTACTGATCCTGTTTGTCCATGGGCCACACTTTGAGTAGCAAGGGTATATGTTTTGTTGTTAAGATGGAAGGAATCCCCATTCACATTGTAACTTGTTTCCTGGATTTTTAGAATAGAATAATAATAACAGTCATGGAGAAACAATATTCCTACTGCTAGTTATGCAGCCATTATACATTCATTCATTCATTTATTCATTCAACAAATACATATTGAGTACCTATTATAAGCCAGACACTCTTCTGGCTGCTGGGGATACAATAGAGGGAAAAAAGCAGACAAAAATCTTTGCCCTCATGTAACTGACATCCTATGTCATTGGGGAGAGAGACAATAAACAAAATAAATAAGTCAATGATATAGCGTGTTAGAGGGTGCTAAGAGCTGAGGGTGAAAATAAAGAGGGAAGGGGCATAGGAAGTGCAATTGAGAAGTATTAATACATTGACCTTTTAAAATAGGGTGGTTAAGGCACTTTTTGAGTGACATTGCACAAAGATTTGAAGGAGGTGAGAGAGCAAGTCATAACAGTGTCTATGAGAAGAATCCCCAGTGAATGAGAAGATCAAGTGCAAAGGTCCTGAGGCAGGAGCATGCCTGGAGTGTTTGTGTACTGCAGGGAGGCCAGAGTGAGATGGGAGAGGTAGATAAAGCAAGCGGGGCTGTGCAGGACACTTAAGTTCTCTGACTTTTACTTTGAGCTCTTCTGAGCAGGATCTAAACTGACATATTAACAATCTTTCTAACTATTGTGTTGAGAAGAAATGAAAGGGGCAAAGGCTGGAGAACCACTAATCTAGAGTAGAGATGATGATAGGTTGAATCAGGGTGATAGCAGTGGAAGTGGACGGGTTTGGGTAGATTTTGAAAGTGGACTCAGCAGGGCTTACTGACATACTGGATGCGGTGTGTGAGAGTGAGAGAGAAGTAAAAAATAACTACAGGGGTTTGGACCAGGAAGGCTGCAGGTGAACTAATGGCTCTTTTTGGGAGGTGATGGCGAGGAGGATGAGAGTAGAGAGGACTAGGGGAGACTAGGGGTTAGTTTTGTATGTGTCAAGTTCAAAGATGCCTAGATCTAAGTAGGGATGTTAAGTAGGCAGGTGCATATACTAGAGTATGGAGCTCTGGTGGAAAGTCTAAATGGAGATTTAATTTGAAAATCATCAATAGAGAGTTGATATTTAAGGTCATAATAACTGATGAGATCATCAGAGAATTGAGTGTAGGTGGAGAAGGATCTAAGCATTGAGCTCTGCAAGACTTTAACATAAAAAAGTTTCGAAAGATGAGGAGGAACCAGAAAAAGAAACCAGGAAAGACATCCAGTGGGGTAGAAAGACAGCTGGGAGACTGTGGCACTGTGGGAGCCAAATGGAGAAAGAGTTTCGTGGAGGAGAGAATGATTAACCATGTCAAGTGCTCTGATCAGTCAAGGAAGACTAGAAGTGGCCATTACATGTAGCAACTTTTCAACAAGAGAGGTTGTGGTACAGTGAGAGGGATGAGAACTCGACTGGAATAAACTCAAGAAACAATGGGAAGAGAAGCATTGGGATCAGGAAGTCAAGTCAGGTCTTTCATGGAGTCTTGTCTTAAAGGGGCACAAAGAATTAGTCATAGCAAGAAGGAAAAGTAGGATCTAAAGATTTTTGCCCCACAATGAGATACCCCACCTATATCACACCCATTAGAATGGCTACTATCAAAAATAAAAATAACAAGTGTTGGTGGGGGTTTGGAGAAATTGGAACACTTGTGCACTGTTGGTGGAAATGCAAAATGGAGCTGTATGGCAGTTCCTCAAAAATTTAAAAACAGAATTACTGAGCAATCCCACTCCTGGGTATATAGCCAAAAGAATTGGAAGTGGGATCTCCAAGAGATATTTGTATATTCATATTCATAGTATCAATATTCACAATAGTCATTGTGGAAGCAACTACAAACATCCATTGACAGCTGAATGGATAAACAAACTGTGGCCTATACATACAAGGAAATATTCAGCCTTAAAAAGAAAGAAAAATCCTGTCACATGCTACAACATGGATGAAACTTAAGGACATTATGCTAAGTGAAATAAGCCAGTCACAAGAAGACAAATTCTCCATGATTTCACTTATATGAGACCTCGAGGAGCAAATTCATTGAAACAGAAAATAGAATGGTGGTTCAAGGGGCTGGAATGAGGGGGCAATGAAGAGTTGTTTAATGGGTTTAGAGTCAGTTTTGCAAGGTAAAGAAGTTCTGGTAAAGGTAAAGAAGGTAACGATTGGATGCCCAACAATATGAATATGCTTAACACTACTGAACTGTATACTTAGAAATGGTTATGATGGTAAACTTTATACCATGTGTTTTTTACCAAAAATTTTAAAGGTTTGTTGTTGTTTTTTTGAGATGGGAGAAATGTTTAAATGCTGGTGGAAATAATCCAGTAGATAGGAGAAAACTGGTGATACAGGAGAGAACGTGGAACCCTGCTGGCGTCAGGACTTTGAATAGGTGAGAGGGGATGAGATTTAGTGAATAAATTGTGGGGCCAGGTGAGTTGTGGCTCTAGAGAGGAACATGGGCCTTTCATCTGTTGCAATAAGAAGAACGGCGGAATAAAAGGGCCTGGATCTGGGATAGGTGGATGTGGGGATAAGAGCTAACAGGAGGTCTCTGCCAATGGCTTCTACTTTCTCCGTGAGGCGGAAGCTGAGGGTGAGAGCAGAGGCGAGTGTGCTCATGAACTAGGAGGGTGGGAGAAGTAAGGGAATGAGAAGCATTGAGGGCGCAGTGGGATGTGTGGAAATGAGTTTAAATTCATTGAAATGAATTTAAAATGTGATCCGTCAACAGTGAGCACGTTGGCCACGCAGGGCTACATGGGTGCACAATCTGAGGCTCTTTCGAGAGGCTCTGTATTCATCAGAAGCTACAACTAACAACAGAGAGTCCATCTTATTCTGAGATGAGAATTTGAAAATTAAAGGACCCATCAAGTAGCAATACACTGCTGAGTATCATAAAAATAACTTAAAAGAAACCTCAGTGGTAGAAGGAGTGAATCAGAAACCTGCTGTGACCCAGTCACCATGACTTTGACATGGTTTTCTCATCTGCCAAGTGTGACAAGGACCACAGCTACCCTGCCTGTTCTCATGCTCCAAACGTCGCCCTGACACTCTTTCCGGGACTGATATCCTGCTCTGCACTGCTTGCGAGGGAGAGGCTGGTGGTGACTGTCCCTGAAGACTGTGGGCAGCGACTCTGGGACAGCCTTGGCTAAATCCTCCTTTACAGGCTTAAAGCTCTCAGATCCCCAACATACATCCAGATAACGATGTGGTGGGGGAAAACAGGATTGGCAAGTTGTCATTTTTTTCCTTCTGTAGTCTTTAACCAAATCACACCAAAGTCCTTGTGGTCCTTCCTTACAAAGATGATGGCGATGATGATGACAATGCTGGCAGCTAAGACTTAGATAACCAGACACTGTTTACCATTCATGGAAACCTCATACTGACCCTCCCATCTAATGCTTGCCCACTATTTTAATATTTATTAGAGAGAGATCTGTCCATTGAACTCACCTCCAATGAAGCGGTATAATTATAATTGACTGTTACCTTTGCCCATCTTTTCTGCCCAGGTGAAGCAATTAAAGGGATTGGAATAAGTCAGCTGGCTGCAGGGAAAACTGTCTGTATTCCTTCAACCTCTAAAACAACTGCTGGGACATTTGAACAAAGAAAAAAAAATCTCATGCAGCTGTGGGTGGTATATGACTTTTTAAAAATATCCTCTGGGTTAGAGAAGAAATCATCAGTAGGAATACCCTTCGACTTAGCATTCTAAAATTTCTATCTCATCGCTTAATATAACTAATCAAAAATAACCTAACCTAGAAAAGGCAGTCACCCATGATTTTGGAAAGGTCCTAAAATAGATATGAGCCCACTGCTAGGAACATCCTTTGGTCTGATGTGGGGCCCAGTCTGTCAATGC